AGATCTTCATCCATCCTCTCAGCTCAAATCCTAATTAATCATATCATACAAAAACAAAAAAAAGCCAACAACAGCAGAAAAAGATATGAGTGAGAAGATGATGATGATATTTGGCTCATGATAAAACCATTCCAAAAAAAAACTACAATAAAAAAAAACTAAAACTCCTAAAAAAATGAACACTGGGTATGATAATCCTACGGGGTATAACAAAGAAGTAGAGAGAAAGAGAGAGAGAGAATTCTTGCCCTTGTCCCCTCCAACAAAAAAGCAGGCAAAAAACCCATAACCGGGGGCCAAAATAGAAAAAAAAAAGAGAAACCGAATTAACCACAATCATAATCCCTTCTCGCTGTTCTTCCCCCCCCCCCCCCCTCTCACCCTCACCCTCCTGACTCACCCTTAGCAAAACACCCCCACTCCCCTCTAGTGCTCTCATAACATTGCATCAACAAGATACACAGCCAAAGATAAACTCCATGCTCCCAAAAAGACAGAAAAAGCAATACACGCTTGTCCTTATAACCCACCAACCAACACCCCTTACCCCTCCTCAACCCCCCTCCCTCGACCTCGACATCCCAGGCTAGAAGAAGAACGTCTCTACCCCCTCCACCTAGGCCTCGTATCCTTCCTCTCCTGTGAATCCCCGGTCCTATTCCCCATAGCACTCTTGTTCCTACTCCCCAACCCCATCGCAACCCTAGCCCCTTCCACCGCCTGCGGAGACGCCCTCCCAGTCACCAACCCACTCGTCGACCTCCTAAAGTCACCACCACTCTCCCTCGGCAGTGGCAACAAACTCGACCTCCTCCCATTACTACCCCCCATCATCCCAGCCATCGAACTCGCCGGCCTCGCGGCCGCGTCAGGACTCTGCTCCAGCGGCCTCGAAGAAGGCATCATGCTCGCCCTCCGATCCCTATTCAACCCAGCCATGGTCGCCGAGCTCGCCAGCCTCGGCCTCTGCGCATACGGCCCCGGGGTAGAAGCCAACCGCTCCCGAAACGAGAGCCTAGAGTGCGATTTGGGAGTAGTCATCAAATCATCCTCCGGCAGAGGTGACGCACTCGAGGCTCTGCCAAGCGGGCTTCGCAACGTAGGTAGCTTTGAGCTGGACGAAGAAGGGGTGAGGGCAGAGGTTGACCGGACCGGAGTCGGAGTTTTCTTAGCGTACGGACTTGGGGTTGTCAACGTCAAGGGTTTGAAGTTGTGGCCCGTGTCGACATCCGACGTGTTGGTTGATGCGTTCCATTTCGGACGGTTGGACAGCGAAGAAGGCGATCGGGAGGTGCGGTTTCCTGTTGGGGTGGCCGACCCTTCCCTAGAGGGGACCGACAGAGTCGACATTCGTGCCGCGACTGGCTTTCGGGTGATAGAGGAGTGGGAGGGCGTGGGGAGGGAGGACATCCTCCTGCTGCTTGGTTGCGGCAGTGAGCTCCCGCCGCTGGTGGAGCGGGATTTGGAGATCCGGATGTTGGTCTGGGAGCTGGCCGGCTGGCTGGACATTATCACTGACGACGGGGGCGAGCTCTCGGGTGTTTCGTGGGCGCTTTGAATCGTAGACCGGCCGTTCGACAGGATACTCGAGACCGAGTCCCGTAGTTGTTGACTCTTCCTCTCCTGCTGGATCTCTTCCAGCACAAGATCAAGCTCGGCAATCTGCCTCTTCAACCCCTCCCACTTCGCCCTCATCTCGGTATGCAACCGTGAAATCTCCCCATTAATAGTAAACCTATCCTTGACCCCCTTATCGATAATCGTCAAAAGCCTCTCGATCGCCTCCCCGTAATGCGTCTTCCTGGCCTCGTAGTTCTCAATCTTCTTGCTCATCGCCGGCGGGCTCGTCAAATGCAACCCAGACTCAATCGCCTCCCGTAGCCAGGTCGTACTTCTCTCAACAGACTCGTACATCTTTTGCGCCTGCCGACCAGCATTGCGAAACACCAAAATCCACCTGTCCTCGCCCAGCTCTTTACGGAGCGACTCGGCATCTTTCTCCAGCTTCTTATAGCTGGCATCCAAATCCGCCCTCCTCATCTCCAACTCCTCACAAGCAGTAGGAAACGTATCCTCGGCCCTCGCCTCAAAAACCGAAAGCCTCATGGGCAAGAAGTCAAGCGAAGCCCTAAGCGGCTGCATCCTCGCAAAAAGCGCCAACAAGCTCGAATCGTCCTGCGAAATCCCCATCGCCCCAGGACTCGGCGACCCAGGACTCAGAGGGAACGGAGGCAGACTAAACCGATTGCTCTGCTGCTGCTGCTGCTGCTGCTGCTGCTGCTGCTGCTGCTGCTGCCCCACCGGCAGCCTCAACCCCCCGGGCGTCGTATCCTCAGCAATAGTATCCAGCTCCCCTCCCTCCTCGGCCCCAAACACGCTCTTGTGCCTCCTCTCCTCCATCTCAAAAACCAACCTGCTCAACTCGTTCAGCTCATTCTCGATATCCCCCAACACCATGTTCCACAACTCCTCCCACTCCATCGCAATCTCCACCTGCGCCTTGACATTGTGCAGCGTCTTGCGCATCAGCCCCCACTCCTCCAGGATAGCCTCCATCTGCGCCACCGCCCTCCTGAGATCATCCGCCGACACGGCCGCAATGTCCTCCCTAGCCTGCAGTTCCTCAATCGCGCCGACATAGACCTTAATCAACTCCTCGAACCGAATGATGGCGTTTTCCACCTCTTCCACCCCCTCGCGACCCCCGGCGGCGGCCCACTCGACGTCATCTTCGCTTTCCAGACCGCCAATTACCTCGGACGCTTTGGAGATCCACCCTCGAATTTGTTCCGCCGCGCCGATGAGTGCCCTGGTGGCTACTTGGGCTGTTGGAATGGCCGAGACTTTGCTAGACAGAGATTCGGCATCTGGGAGTTGCAACGACGTTAGTTGCGCCAACTGGTTGGCAAACGAGGCTCGAGATAACGTGTAAATCGACCCGGGCCGTTGCAAACCCAGCGGGTTCAATGCAATCGAATCCGGGTTGAAAACGTCTCCAGAAGGCGGGGTGGCTGGACTAAACGTGCGCGACGTTGTTGTCGTTGGAGGCGTATCCTTTGCCGGCGGCGGAGGTGGAATTTCTGGCGTCTGCGGTGGTGGCGGCGGTCGGGTATCCCTCGCGATATGCTCCTCCCTTGTGTCCAACTGCGCCTTCACCCCATTGCCATTGGTGTGGTCAGGCAGACGATATTTATTCGTGTCCATTTCCAGCGGTTCTGTGGTAGTAATTTCTGGGAGCAGCTCTGGTTTTGGGTATGATGATAATTCTTGTTCGATACTCGGGGACGGATAAGCGGGCGACTCGAGGGCCGGTTTGTTGTTGTTGTTGTTGTTGTTGTTGTTGCTGTGCGACGACTTGTCCGACTTGAGGCTCGATCTCGAGGGGATTCGGATGATGTGACCCTTCCAGGGTCTACCCCTCCGTTCAATGACGGCAGCTGCGGAGTTGACCTGGTGTCCCTGGTCTAGTTTCCTAAGTTGCTCCTCTGGAAGACGGCCGATATCTTGCTGGATGGGAGGAGGGGGCGAGGCGGTTTTGCGGGAGGAGCCAAAGCCGAGGGCTTTTAATCGCGCTGCTAGGCCTGGAGACGGCTTTCTTGCGCGATGGACTGATGCTGAAGGGCCGGGAGTGGTAGCCCGGGAAGAGGTTGCAGGGTCGTCTGCCGATAGCTGTTGCTGAGATTGGGCTTGTTTTTGTTGTTGTTGCGGGTTAGTGTTGTTAGTGTTAGTGGTAGTGTTTGGCGGGTCGCCGTTGTGGCGATCGCTGGTGGTGGTGCTGGTACCGTTACCGACGTGGTGTTGATCCGTCGTCTCGTACGCGCGAAGGGGCAAAAGATCGGGTGACTCGGACACGTCCGTCGCCGTGATAATCGGAGCGGTGAGTTCGTGATGGCTACTGCCTGGGGCAGCAGTAGTAGCAAGAGCCGTCATTCGGAACACTGGCTCGACTGAGCTCCCTCTCTTTTTTTTTTTTGCGGGCACTTGGACGGCAGCCGACAGCGACAGAGCGTTCTAGCTTGGCGGCGTCAGAGGGTGCGTATGCGAGCTGCGTTCTGCGTCTTTTCCCCATAAAAATCCCCCCCCCCCCAGGGTCGGCTGTGGTCTGAATTCGCGATGGAACGCAGTTTGCCTTGCGTTAGTGGTTGGATAACACGCCGCAGAGGGGAATTCTGCCGGGTTTCAATCGTGGTGTGTGGCAGCAAATGGCAGTGGGCCGATGCAAATGAAGAGACAAGTGACTGGTCGACAGCATCCCGTTTTGATCAGCAAGGTAGGTGTGATGTTATGAAGGCTGCTTCCAAAGAGAAATGGTTGGAAAGGGCAGAGCAGAGCAGAACAGAGCAGAGCAGATAGAGCAGAACAGAGCAGGCCCAAAAGGCCGACAGAAGTGCCAGAGGGGGCCAAGTTATTATTATTAAAAAAGAACAATTCCCAGAGGCCTGTCTCGCCTCCTCTAGCTTGGGGGGTGTTAATCTTGTGTTGGGTGCCCTTCGGGAACCCGCAGTCACGTTCGATGGGATCGTCCAATGAGCCCGGCGCCTTCCATGACTGTTACCTTGCTCTCCAGATATTTACTGTGTAGTCCCCCAGAGCGCTCTTGACGATATCACAAAAAGCGAAGTTACAAGGTCGTAATATTCAGTGTCTTCCAGAGCACAAGCACTACCCGATGACGGCAGTTCGCCAGCCCGGACGGGCGACGGGTGCTGAAACGCTTGATGGGGGCACAGGGATTCTAGAAGATTAAACCTATTTCCGGTATGGTCGGCAAGCCAGGGGCCCCTTTCTAGCGTTGCGTAACCACATGCTCGGGCCAAGGTTGGGCCTCTCTTCTTCTGTCGGCTGACGAGACAGAGGGAATATATATCATGAAGAGATGACGATCGGCTTCACTTCTGCGGCCTGTCACTGAAGACACAGCAGCTAGGTCAAGCTCATGCAGCTGTCTTTTGTTTTGCAAAGATCAGACGCTTCTGCTAATAATTACCTCACATAAGGTAACCATCAAGACGGGCCGCTGATGGCCGCTGCGGAGAGCAAAGAGAAATGCTGCAATGCAACCTGGATGGATGCTCCCGAGTCTGCATTGCAGTCAAACAGAACACCAATCATTGGCTTCAGCCGAGGTCAAAGTCGTGAAGAGATATTGAGAGATTCAAAAGAGAAAGATGCTCACCAGAGATCCAGACGTCCAGACCACTGCTCAACATCAGATGAAATGGAGACAGACGCCCAGATGTCGTAATGAAAAGAAGCCAGCCGGGTATGCACGTGGCCTTCTCAACATCTCCTCGCGTTGCCGGGGCGTTGCTCCGTGGCGAGAATGACAGAAAAGCATTACGAGACATTCCGCGGCTTCCGCTGTCAAGATCAAAGGGTTTCGTCAGTGATCGCAGGCTTCTCGCCGGTTGCTTTTGTGTCAGGAAACAAAAAATAAAAAAGCTTCGGCGGGGTTCGAGCTGTGTGAACCGACGCGTTGGCAGTGGACCGTGTCCTCATCTCCCCACCTTCCGTGTCGCAGACCAGGGGGTGGGCCATCGGTCCCCAATCCCCACCGGCGCTGCATCAAGCCATCGGACCCCCTGGGCGAGAGCAGGCGAGACAGTCACAGGCAATTCTACCGCATGAAGTTATCTCATTTCTTCTGCCTGCCCACCCTCGCCCAACCTGCCTGCCCACAGAAATACCACACACAGCAGAATCGCCTGGACCTCGCTTTTTTCCCTTTTGCCTATCCATCCCCCCTCACCGGAAAACCCTCCCGAAAAACCCTCCCGAAAAACCCAGACGTTCAGTGTCTGAGACTTGCCTCCCGTTGTGCGTTGAGCCGTCTCTTGTTTACTTTCTGCCTCAATCAACCACCAACGACAGCCACTCGCCCACTGGGCTCCCTGCCGTGGAACAACACACTTTGCTCTGTTCAAGACGCTGCAGCAGCCTTCGTACCAGACAGAAAGAAACGACGTCATCGCCGACGATCGCTCTTGGTATACCGAAATAGGCACACTCCGGCCTATGGCCTTTTACCTCTCGTCCTCACTCGATATCAAGATGGCAGCTGCTTCTGGTGAGCCCGCCAGCGGACGCTGTGCCTCTCCTCCGCTCGACAAAGCTCCCGGCCCGGCCCTCGGCCCTCGCTCTGACCCGACACGCTGCCTTTCGGTGGGCTCGACCGTCTCTCATGGCTCCGCAACTACAGAAGCCTCGAATGTGCGCGAGTCTCTTGGGAGCGACAGCTCGGCCTTCTCACGCCAGTCCTCAGAGAGCTACCGTCCCTCTCGTGTCTCTGATATCTACACGGGCAATCTTCCACTCAATAATCGGGACTCGATGAACGGCATGGATATGCCCTACACGCCAGTGACACCGTCGGGGTCCAGGAGCTCGAGCAGGCGCCGGGGTTACATGCGTCCCCAGGGAACTGACTTCGCTGCCAGCGCCCGCGCTCGGGAGAGCGTCCTGAGCCTCGGGAGCATCGCACATCTTCAGTACTACTTTGCACGGACCGGTTTGCTGGACGGGAAGGGTGGTCGGCTGGCACGCAAAAGAGACAGCAAGGCACAAACACTGGATCTTTCTTCGCTCGATTCCGTGTCGTTTTCTAGTCTCAAGGCCCCGGTCAGTGACCATGACTCGAGCTACGCATCCATGGGAAGCAGCCCGGATCTGGGTGCGCACAGTAGCTTTGTCAGTTTGGCCGGCGGTTCCCTCGTCGAATCGCCCACCGATGAGCAACACCCGGAGGAATTCTATTCCGAGGACGAGTACGACGAGGAGGATCTCAACATGCCCCCTCCGACGACCAGCACATACATTCACCGAGAAAAGGCAGTCCCAAAGCCGCCGACGGTTGCTGAATTAAGAACCGAGCTCACGAACGCCCTCGATACTGCCAAAAGATCACTGAAGGAAGCAAAAGACGCCAAGGCCCCACCAGACGATTCGCCCAAGATTTCCATTCATTTGACTGATGACACGGGAGCCGACTCACGCGCACGTTCGGGGTCTACCAGAAGCACCCGGAGCAATAGGAGCAATATTGGGTGGTTTGAGATTCAGGGCATGCACATCCTTGATGTCATGACGCTGGCTATCCGGGCGGCCAAGATCTATTACACATCCCACGACCGACCTGACCGCCTGGATGCCATCAAGTCGGAAAAGGAGATTCGCAGTGCCTTGCTCTCTGTGATGGAGGTGCTCAAGCGCATGGCAACTCGGGGGTTCTCTGGCGGCATGCGTGAGGACGAGTTCCACACTATGAATGAATGGATCTCCGGGCTCCACAGCATGCTGGCTGCTGAGGCTGAGATAGAGGCTGCCGAGGCTGCTGAGCGGGAGGGGTGGACTTGGTTGCGCGATGAAGGGTGGGAGGGCCGGGAAATTCAGCGCGAGGAAGCCTTCATACAGTCGATGCTGCACGGCATCAAGGACCCCATCGAGAACATGCCAACCATTCCCACATGGGTCCCCATTGACCGGACGAAGCCTTTGGGTGAGCAAACGCTCCCCACACCGTTTCTTGCGTCCCTGTCCAACGGCCAGCGTCTGGTTCACTTGCACAACTGTGCGGTTCGCAAGTCTCGCCGGAGGTTTGGTGCCATCGCCTCGTTCCATGGCGACACCCAGAAGCCATATCGCGCCGCTGACAACTTGCGCTACTGGCTCAAGGCGGCCGAGCTACGATGGGAGGTGCTGCTCAAGACCGATGCTCTTGGCCTCCAGTACAACACAAGCCCGCAACTCTGGCTTGACTTTGAGGATGCCATTCTCCAATGGTGCCGAACAGTACGCGGCGAGATTACCGCCGAGCTGGAGGGCTAGGTGCCACCGAAAAAAAAAAAAACATCAACAAACATTATTACCTGCCCAGCGGGAGACGTGGTCAGCAATCAAAGCCAGGTGGGTTCGGCACTGCAGATGCCTCTGGAGGACATACACACCATCTTATCACAAATCTTCCTGGGGAGAGGGGGAAAAAATTGGGACGGATAGGAGGGGGACAGGCTGGCAGGATATGACGACTGAAAGATGTTACGACCTGATAGACGGCTTGGCCCCTCGTCCGCCTTTTTTTTTATAATTTTCTTTTCTTTTTTTTTCTTTTTCGATTCACAAACACTTTTGTCTATTCTTCATACCTTTTTTCTTATACGGCTGGGGTTGGGCCTCCACACCTGCCCTTTTTGGTTTCAATAACCACATAATCCTGGATCATACCTGGCTTCTTGACAGCTTTTACGATGGACTATTCCTTGGCCTTTTGTCCAACTTTTGTCAACACAGGCAGATGTAGGGGGTTTTGTTCATGTTGGGCTTTTTCGTTATATTCTGCCTGTATATACTTTCAAAATGTTTGTTTGGGAAAGGAGAGACATGCCGAGTTTGGGGGGGTTTTCACACTTTTACGCATACAAAACATTACCTCCTTTTTTTTATTTTACTTCGTTCGGGTTTGTTGTGGTCCGCCTTGTTACCTTTTTTTTTTTTACTTGGGTTTCTTATCACTACTTCTTCATTTATATACCCCCATTTATCAGCATCATCATCATTATCAGCATTAAAAGAAACATTGAAATACCAACACAAAGCTCACACACACACACATTGGGATTTGGGGCGTTTGTAATGGGTTTTGTTTTGGGGGGAAAGGTTGGAAAGAGAGGGGGACTGGGCGGAGGAAGAGGTGGGAGAGGAAAAGGGGTGTTAATTAGGATGAGGGGAACAGAGAGAGTATATATATATATATATATATATATATATAGATGTGTCAATCAAAGGCTGAAGCTTTTCAACCACTGATATGTTGATGTATGTCTGTGGGCTTGTTCTTGACTATGTATGTTAAGTTTCAAGATTAAAATTGAGGACAGACTGTAATACTATTGTTTTAAGAATGTTACTGTTAGTGAGAAGAGAACAAATAACAAACACTTTCTTTAATCATAAGTCATTATCACCTAGAATTAATTCTCTCTCCCACACACACTCCCACACACACTCCCACACACACTCCCACACACACTCCCACACACACTCCCACACACACTCTCACACACTCTCTTTCATACTTGTATAGGATTATCTATAGTTAGCATAAATTGTTAGCTATCAGCTAGCTATAGATGATTCCAATCGTCTCCAGCCGCTATACACCGTTACCGGCCGCAAAATTTAGCTCCAAGCTTTAGGGTTTATTACTTTATGCCATAAGTTCTCTCTTTGTCTCTATGATCCGGCTACATCCTGGAGAACGTAACGAGTTCTTATTTTTCTTTGAAATCCAACACCTCTCCCATCCTGATCAACCACTCCTTTTTTCCACCCCTCAACTACCCCCATACAAAAAACTCCTAGAGCAAAGCAAATTCGCAATTATCAAATATCCTCCTCCTCTATTGATCTACCCTGTGCGTGAATGAGTATCGTAATGTGATGATATGCCTTGAGAAAAACGCTGAAAAGTCTGAGGCATGAAGACGAGGCGATGCTTGCTTGTCTGGTGTGGTGATAGCCCACCCTTTGACCCCCTCTCTGCCTTTTACCCCCTTTCCCTCTCCCAGCACCACGCAAAGACAAAAAAATGAAACTCCTCTCTTTAATGCACCGTGCCGCCCAATGCTGTGAATGAAATGCAATGCGCATGTTTGTGACCCCCTTCCCCTGAAAAAAAAACCCTTATGTCGTTATATACAGTATCGTCCGATGCACGTAAGTCGTCATCGAAACAAAGAAAAAAGCTTCGTGAAACATCGACTGAGATAAAAAAAGTCAATGCTATGAACGCAACCCGCATTCTAGGGGATGAATCCACTATGGCAGATGTTAACGAGGCATGGCCGAAATTCCACCTCCGCCTCCACCCCGAGGGTAAGACGAGCCCTTGCTTCTGCTGCTGCCACCTGCCGATTTGGCTGAAGAACCTCCACGCTTGCTTACACCTCCTGAATTGCGGCTGTATCCGTTGCTGCCCCGTCCACCTTTCTTCTTGTAGTAGGACCCGCCACCGCTTCTGCTGCCATAGCCAGAACCTTGATGCTGAGAGTTGGAGGCGGCTTTGGCAAGCCTCTCAGCATCAGCTTCCCTCTGCATTGCTTTAAGCTCTCGATGAAAGGCTGCCACCTCGGGGTTCACATAGGGAGCGCCAGCGCCATACTGTGATCCACTCGCCATATCTTCCTCGTCGTCAAAGTCACCAAATTCCTCCTCTCCATCACTGATCACAATGACGTCTCGATTCCCCTTCTTCCTTATATGAGCATTGGGGGCGATTGTGGCAGCGCCAGAATACTGATTTCTGCTGGGATCCTGGTTGCTCATCATCTCCTGGTACTGTTGGTGCAGCTGTTGAATCAGGGGCACAAAGCGAGAACCCCACTGGTCTACTTTGTCAGGAGTGACGCCGCGGATGGTGTACATCTTGGCCGGAGTCGTTGTCCAACGAGCGATCATTTCGCGATACTGTTGATCAGTGAAAAAGGGGCGAATATGGTTTGTCTCGGCCCTAATCTGAATCTCAAGCTGCTTCGCTTCAAAAAGGAAATGATCCGTGATACCTTGATGGACCTGGTCCAGTTGAGAGAAATCAAATGGCCTAAGCTCATCCAGGGTCTGCTGGTGCCGTGTAGCGGTGCGATGATGACGAGATGGGGCGGCGGCGTCAAAGTCCACTTCCTCCTCGTAGTCCGATACCACGAAATTGTCCTTGGCATAGCCATTGGCATGTCGCGGCCTGTGGTCTTGGATATCTTCGTCTTCATCACCGGAACCGAGTTCGTCTCCAAAATCTCCTTCGGCCTCATCATCAATTAACTGTCGACCCCGCCGAGGCGCCAGCCGCTTTCTCGCTGGTGCAGAAACAGGCGACGACACATTGGTAGAGGGCGGTACTCGAACCATTGCTTCGGATTTGACCAGGCACTTGCGGGAGAAAAGATCCTGCTCGGGCATCAAGATGGTCAGTCTTGTCCCGCTGGACCAGAAGTGTCTGAAATTCTCCTTGGAGACCTAAGACACAGGTGTTGTCAGTACAAAGGCAAAGATAAACTCAAGGGTGTTGTTGCTTACGTGGTAGTAAAGATTAAGACCGCCGTTTGCGCTCGTCTCCGCTGTGCTATGAATTATCTTCACCCTCTCCATCTCGATAATGACAGGATAGATGGCTGTGTTTTTGATGCCGGGTGCTACGCCAAAGCCTGGCAGGTGTTGGTAGTTCTTCTTATCTCGCCCGGCCATAGCGGAAGCGAGTTTACCGATAGAGCCGCCTTTGGCACCCATGCCGGGAATCAAGTCAATGATAGCCTTGGCCCAGTCAGTGCGGTCCACCTGCTTAAGAGTGACTTTCTCGCCGAGAAGGCAAAAGTCACACTGCTTGTTGCAGTTGGCAGCATTGAAGTCTTCCCCAAAATACCCCAGCAGCTGCGTCCGACGACAAGAAGTCGTGTTCAGACAATAAAACGTCATCCTATCCAGCAGCTCCAGCTGCTTGTCCTTCTCAGCCTGTGACCGCACGTGCTTGCCGTCCTTATCAAGCTCATCTTTTTGCACCATGCGCCTCAGACTGGTCACGTCGCCGTAGGAAAAGTAAAGGATGCAGTCGGCAGGCTTCCCATCACGCCCAGCACGCCCGGTCTCTTGATAGTACCCTTCCATGGTTTTTGGAAGAGAGACGTGGATGACAAAACGCACATCTGGCTTGTCAATTCCCATGCCAAAGGCTATCGTGGCAACAATGACGTGAATTTCATCATCCTGCCACTTCCGCTGAATCTCCGGCCTGTCGTCCAATCCGGCATGGTACGGCGCTGCCTTGATGCCATACTTCTCCACAAGCTTCCCAGCAATGCCCTCACAAGAAGCGCGGGACGTCGTGTAGATGATGCCGGTTTGATTCTTGTATCTGGTGGCGATCAAACTGCCGAGCGGGTCGACATAGGTTGGGGGTTTGGGAAAGACCTCATAATAGAGATTGGGCCGGTTGAAGCTCTGCGTGAAGAGTTTACAGCCTGTCATTCCAAGCTGATGCTGAACATCTTTCCGAACACTCTCGGTCGCCGAGGCGGTTAAGGCCATCACCGGGACACCTGGGAACTGCTTTCGGAACTCGCCCAAAGCTTTGTAGTCGGGACGAAAATCGTGACCCCACTGACTGACACAATGGGCTTCATCAATGACCAAACGAGCAAACTTGCCTCTCTGGTGCAGCATCTTAAGTGCGCGCCGGATCTGGGTATTCTCGTTGGCGAGCATCTCCGGGGTAACGTAGAGCAGCTGGTAGAAATTTTCCGGCGTCTCGTGGTTGAGTTTCCCCAGTATATGTCGTTTGTGAGCTGCCGCCAGGTTTCCATTGAACGCCACAGCCAGGATATTGATCCTTTCCATGTGCTCAACTTGGTCACTCATCAAACTGAGGAGAGGTGACACCACAATGGTAACACCTTTTGTTTTTCCACTTTGAACAACCGCGGGAAGTTGATAACACAACGATTTTCCCCCTCCTGTCGGCATCATGACAAAGGCATCCTCTCCGGCAAGAGTGCAATTGATGGCTGGGAGCTGGTTATGGCGGAAGTTGACGAGCCGAAAGCGGTCTTTCAGAGCTCGAAGGACATCTGCAGACCAGGGAAACTGCAGGAGCTCAGGCGGAATGGCAGTCTTCCGTACCACAGGTGGTGCAAGCTTTGCAAGAGCTCGCCTGGGTGGTGCGGGAGCACTATTGCTAGTGGCCTCAGACAACGTAGAGCGGGCAGCTGTTCGCACAGCGGCAGTCGCTGAGGGTGCTGACGGGCCTCCTGAAAATTGCTCATATACGCTAAGCAACAAATCGTCCGGGACATCGTCTTGTCCATACTCGTCTATCTCGGCCGCCTGTGTTTGGGTCCTGTTGTGCGCCCGTGGTGGTGCAAATTGCGAGGCTGCCTCCATAGCAGCAAGTTCGTCCTCGTCAACATCGAAGTGATTCGAGCTGCTTGGCACAGCTTGATGGTAGGGTGGCTGGACCCGAGATCCCGAGAACTGAGTATGTTGTTGGTTTGGTGGGAAGTGCGGAACTGGCGGTCGAAATTGAGGAGCAGCAAACTGAGCCGGTGCAGCAAACTGGGATGGGCCTCGCTGAGATTGGCTACCAGAGTATTGCGACGTGGCGGGGGGCTGACTAGGACCTGTAATTAAAGAAGGGCATTCAGGAATGATGCGTCCCTCACTCGGAGAAGTCCTGGCATCGGCCGCATGGGCCTGTGCCCTCGGGGAAGAGTCGGCAGGCGCAATGGAGTCGTTTTGGTTCTTAAGAAAATCGAGATCATCGACGCCAGCCTTGATGAGGTGGGCGATGAGTGTTTTCTCTGCGGTCTCGATTTTTTCATCGAGTTTCAGCAGCTGTTCCTCATCCTCCTCTGTGTCAATGCCATCGCGATACGCCTTCGCAATCTTGTTTACCAGGGCTTCCTGATCACTGTTCAGCGTTTTGTACGAGGCATGTGACTCCTGGAGAGAAAGCAGTGCTTTCTTCTTATCCTCCAAAGGCTTTTTCGCATTCTTGATGCGCTCGCGCTCTTGATTACGCTCTTCTTTCAACCCCCTCTGAGTCAAAAATCTCCTAAAAGCTTCTGCGTTCTCCTGGAGCTGGGAGTCCACAAGTTGCAGCATCTCATCCAAAACCGAGGGCCGAGAAAGAAACAAGCCCAGGGTATGCTTGTTACGCTCAATCTCAGAGCCGAGAGAAGCCTCCGAGGCTGGGTTTTGCCCCGAGCTGACAGGCTGAGGCACCGAGGCTTGGGATCCCTGCGTGTTACCGACAGTCGCTCTGCTCCCGTTGCTGACGACATTATCGAGTTCCATAGGCATCGGCGCCGGCGCTTTCGAGGGAGTCTCCTGAATGGAAAACTCCATGTCCACATCCATATCTTGAACTCCTGGGGGCGACTGAGCGTCGGGCGATCCGTGGGAGGCCGGCGTGGTGAATTCATCCTCCGAGTCGTAGACAACATCGGCACGCTTCGCCCGTTTGTTTGACGAGTTGTTGGCTGGGGTACATGAAGCGTCCACCTCCTCGTCCAAAAAGTCGTCGCTGTTGAATTCGGCAGTCGCGGGCGACTTTCGCTTGCGAGCGGATGCTGCGACAGTTGGGACGGTTTGAGTGGGTACAGCAGAACTACCATGAGCGGCTTCACGGCCCTGGACCGTGGGTTCCTTAAACGCACGGCTTGTTCCGGGCGGGCAAGGGGTAGAGATATGCGTCTTCACATCTGAAGGCGCCGTGGCGCTGCGTTTGAGAGCTGAGCGGACGGCTGAGGAGGGCGGGACGATCTCATTGATGTCTGGATACTCTTCGTCAAATTCGTCCAAAGTCTTGATAACTTTGGTCTGCTGATAGGGGTTCGCTTGGCCACGGCTGGAGACAGGCTCAGGGCGCTCGCCATAGTCCTCTCGCCACAACCTCTTGTCGTCGCCAAAGCCCACCACAGAGCTGGACCCATCGTTGCGATCTTCTTCGGTGAGATCAATGGGGTCGGAGAGGTCGTCAAACTCGACCTTCACGCGGGCGCTTGTCTTAACGGGCGGCGGCGGCGAGGAAGAGCTTGCCTGGGGCCGGACAGCAGCATTGGCGGAATAGGCGCGCTGCAAAGCTCCGATCTGTGTACTTCTAGTAGTAGAGACCGGAGTGGGGAGTTGCTGTTGCTGCTTTGTCGCCAATGTTGGCCGGCGGCTGTTGTAGGCGGACAGCTTTGCCATTCCGCTCGCGTCGTCGACGTCTACCTCATTGGTGGAAGGGGTGGCAGCGAGATGTGATCCTCGAGTAGAGGCAGTGCCATGAAGAGGGTCCTGGGGGGCAGTGCCAGTCTGTGATGGAAAGGCACCGGCAGCCGGAGCACTAGGAAATGAAGAATGGTTAGGTCGTGAAGTGCGTGAAGTGCGGGTCACATCGGCAGCAGGAGGTGGAGGGGTGTTGTCGAAAGGGTCTTGGGCATCGGGTAAAGGTGGTCCCGATGGCCTCAAGCGCGTCGTCTCTCTCAAGAGCCACGACAGATGAGCACTCAGATTGTTCCGAGTCATGGGATCGTACAGGAACCTTGGGCCCCAACCCGAATGGCTCGCATCGATGTTGAGCACAAGGAGAGGATTGCGAGGAAAGAGGGGGGTGGTGCTGAGAATCCCTGGAATGGCTCGAATCACTCTGAGTGCTTGTGTGAGGATGGGTGGATAGGGCATTGTGAAAACGCGTTGAGAGCGCTCCCAAACGCGTCGTCATGTGCTCCGCCAAGCCTAGGCGCCCGCTAGCCCGCTAGGGTAAGGTGCGCCAAGATCCAAGTGAACTGAGCTCATCCTGGGTGGCCCAAGCTCACTCTACGGGGACAGTGAATTGGGACAGTGAACTGAAGTCTACACCGTAACGACACTGGCCTAACGGTGCGACTCTCAAGTCCGACGATCAGGGAATTTGGACAGTAAAGTTCCCGCGTATGGGGAAGGGGATTGAGCGATGAAGTGCCTGCGGACTGGGAGTGGGATTGAGAAGAGGATCGGAAAGGGGAAGTGTGAGCAGAGCTGGCGCAGCAGGGTGCGTGCTTGTGTGAATATCTAGGGTGTCAAGTCGATGCTTACCTCGCGTGCTCGCCCACGTGGTCCATGGTACCCAGGGGTCCTGGGTGTCCCGAGGAGTGGCTTGAGTGGCCTGGGTTGTAGTCTCGCGCGTGGGCGCGGTGATGGTGGTGTCCTGAGGACAGGAAGGCAGAAGCACTGGTAGGCGTGGGCGCGAGGATGTCTCGCGCGCGAACTCGAGGGCTGGTTGACTGCCAGATGTTGGTGGTTTAGGAGAAGGTTGGGAGGCTTCGGAGGAATACTGGAGGTGGTTAAATACCTGGGACTGGGAGCAACTATGGAAGGCGGTGGTCTGGGCTTGCAAACTCACTTGCCGGGAGCTACAAGTTCGGATTTTTCAGATGACACTCTTGGGATATCTTGGCAGGTGCTCGCGGCAGGCTCTTTGATTGAAAACGCGTGCGCGTGCCCGTCTGGACTGCTGGCTGGGAATGAGGTCGTCTCCGCGTTGGAAGACGACGGAATCTTGCTCCCTCGCGCGTCGAAGGAAGGAACACTCGACATGGTGGTGTTGTCGACAAAGTTAGCACATGGAGGTTGATAGAGGTACGATGGTCATGCCTTGTTTGTTTACACCGAGACACAGAACACATGTCCATACGATAGTACATATAGATGTTTGCCCTCTTAGCTTGAAGCTCTCTGCCAGACTACAACATCACAGGCACTGGACATTTGTGTGGGTTTGTTTTTTCTAATGCCAATCTTTCTATGCCGTGAGATGTGCAGAGACTATTGGATAATGTAAGATCTAAAGGGGGCTTGGAGATGCAAGAGAGCATCTTGTCCCAGGAAATATCTCCACAATCAGGGGTGCCGTAGACTTCAGAACAAGCGCAGACCGACTACGGGAAAGGCAGGCTGAGTTAAGAGACAGTAAATAAATAGAAGTGAGATAGACTAAGTACGGATGATTCATTAGTATAACGAAAGAAAAAGGTAGTGTACTACGTGAGCACACAGGTGAATGGTGATTTACACCTGATCTTTGCTCTTGCGCTAGAACACTCTTCTTATCATAAATCAAGTTTATAATCCGCGAGCACGCGGAAGGGATCAGAAGGCCAGCGCGTCTACGCGCGTATGAAATCCAAGCATGACCTATTCTTGCACCTGGACACCCTCTTTTTTGCAAACAATATTTATGATCTGTGATTACATGTTGGAGATGAAAACATTGAGCGCGTCTGGATCTTGGCTTGGATGATGCTGAGATAGTTTGTGAGCATGAAACCCTGAGGCAAATAATAATATGGTTCTGTTGGGAGTAGAAGTTTGAGTAGTGGCACATATATAGTTTTGGTGATGGTTCAGTAGTCTATCCATGGGTTCTTTGTGCCTCGACTAAGCTGGAGCATTGTCTTCATGCATACCCTGCGAATAGTTTTGTATTCTGTTTCCTATACCCATTGTCTAGACCCTTTGCGCCCCCCCCCCCCCCCAACCCTTCCCCCCATTGAAACTACATACTCGTGTTACACTGCAACAGACAGGCGTTGTTTTTTTCTTCGACCATCTCCAATATGACTTTGGGTGCCATATTGGACTGAACAACCCCAGCGTCATTATTCTCTTCAACATTTCATCTGAGCTTTGAATTTCATGAGACTACATAAACACGTCTATGGCTCAAGGGGTTGATTCTGAATTGTTCGAGTGAAATGGGCAAGCGTCGAGTGCGACGCGGAATTGTAAATAGTGCGTTCAGACTCAGAGGCCTACTTCGCCAAACGTCCCAGCTTTGCAAACCCTTTGTTTCTTTAGAGGATGAGATTCCGCACCCAGAAACTGATTCCTACCAAGCTCCAAGCTCCAAGCTCCAAGCTCTCAACTTGATAGCAGAGAATCAGTTTAGGACAAACCCATGTCGGGGTAGGTTGAGGCTGGGCATGATGATACTTAGATATTGATCAGTGCTTCATCACACAGTAGCATTCACAATAATATTATACAGCAGAACTTCTAATGAGTGAGTTAATCCTTCAAGATTTATTCCCCATTGATCCTCTCACCATTGCTTCATTGACACCGGCGATGTCCCATCCAGGGGCTCAGGGGCAAATGCCAAGACTGCGACCCAGGTTAGGGTTTCTTTCAATCGGGCACTGTACGGAAACGAAAAAAAGTGAAATTGGCACACAGGTCAAAGAGATCGAACCCGGGGAGAAGACAGGCTTCTTTGACCTTGGGTTGGATTCCAATCGTCCCTTCCCGTCTTTGATCCCAATAACATGGACTTGGGTCGGTTGAGAACAATGGCCGATTACCTAAGCACTGTCCATGCTGGATTTAGACACTGTTTCCACGGCACGCCCAGGCACTAACAGCACCGTCGGATCCTGTCAGCTCTAGCGGTGCTCGGCTTCGTTGGACGCCCCGGGCCCCGGGCTCGAGCTGGTATTATTCTGAACAACACATCCCTTGAACGGGACTGCTCAACACCATCACTCCCGATTCTTTGCCACATAATCGATCCATTGTCGAAATCTTCTCGAGTCGTAGCAATCACACCTCGGTTTTCTGGCACGATTAGCATGGAAAACGGGGAGCTGCGCGAGCCGCAACATCAGGGCCGTATGTAGCCAGCAACCGAGACATCAACGCCCCAAGACATCCCCAGATCCGACCTTCAGTTTACTTCATCATGCCCCCGCGCAGGTCGCACAAGAAGTCGCGGGCTGGCTGCCGTCGTTGCAAGGCGAGGAAGATCAAGGTGTGTATGCGCCTTTGGATTTTCTATTCGTCAGTTATTGCTAACACTCAATGCGACCAGTGCGATGAAGTCCACCCACGATGCGGCAACTGCGTAAAGCACGGCGTCGCTTGCGACTTTGAGCACCCCGAAGTCCTCGCCGACCTCCAAGCCGCCGCCGCAGCAGCAGCTCAAACCCCCTCCACCCCCGCGACGACTGTCAACTTCGGCTCCCCCATCGTCCCCTCCGCCGGCCACCTTTCCCTCGCATCCGCTCCGCTCGCCCGACCCCTCCCCCCACCTCCCATGTCCACCACCACCGCCCCGGGACATCGACTCCTCGAACTCAAACTCATGCACCACTACACAGTCATGACCTGCAAAACATTCACCTTCACCGCACCCGTAACAGAAGACATTTGGAAAATCACCGTCCCCAACCTCGCCTTCTCCGGCTCCCAACACCTAGCAGACTCCATCCTCGCCGTCGCCGCCCTCCACCTCCGAAGCATCAACCCCAACGACAAAGAAATCGTCCGCGCCTCCCACGCCTACATGGCCGCCTCGCTGGAAGAATACTCGGCCACCCTCAACCAAGGAATCAACCACACCAACGCCGAAGCCCTGTTTCTAACCGCAGCCCTCATAGCCTTCCAGTCCACCGCCACCCGCGTCTTCATGAAAGACGAAGGCCTAAGCATAAACTCCTCCTCCACCTCCTCCCTCTCCTCCGACCCATCAAAACGCCACCAGCAACCAGGCTGCTACGCCATCCCCTTCACCTGGTTCCACTCCTTCCAAGGCGTCAAAGCCATCACGGCCGCCTCCTGGCAGTATTTACGAGTTTCACCGGTGGTAACCCAGGTAATCAACTCCCAAGCCGCCCTCCAACTCGACTTCCGCACCGGCCCAGAGACGTTTTTTGGCCATTTGTTGGAAGGGCTAGAAGAGGAGCTGAGTAACCCCCCTTCTAGCTTTGACGCTCGGGTGCCGTTGACGTCGAGACCGTTGCCACCACCAAACAGCCCGGACCATATTTCTGCCACGAGACAAGCCTACCAGCATGCGGTGGCGGTGCTGAACTGGGCGCACAAGATCCCGCACAAGGGCGCGCCGTTGGCGTTCCCGGCTACGGTGTCCAAAAGATTCATTGAGCTACTTGAGGAACGGCGGCCTCGGGCACTGGCGATTTTGGCGTGTTTTTTTGCCTTGTTGAAGTCGCTTGATGGGGTTTGGTGGTTGCAGGGGATGGCGAGACGGGAAGTCCTGGGGGTTGTGTCGTTGTTTAACAGTGATTTTTTCGGGCCGGACGCGTATAGGAAGTGGTGGCCTCATTTGGAGTGGGCAATGAGGATCGCGCTTTTCGAGCCGGAGAGGGATGGGAATGGGCAACAGGGGGGGATGCCGATACCGCCAGAGGTTTGGGGGAGTGATTGGTTTGCCGAGGAGAGGGCGCTGGAGGAGCAGGGGAGGGAGCAGGGGGATTACTTTGGGCATATTGAGCTGTTGAGTCAGATGAGCAGTGCGGTGAATAGCATTCCGACTGTGCCGGAGTATGCTGCTATGATGGCTGGGGCTAGAGGGCAGGGGGGGAGGTGACAATCATGGTTTTAGGGGGAGGGGGGGTAGTGGGGGAAAAGAATATTTGCCGTGATGGTGGTTTGGGCTTACTGGAGGGAAGGATATTGACCTGATGGGTTTGAACCTGGGAGCTACTGGGAGGAAGGATATTGGGATATCAGTCGTATAAGTTTCAGCTGGTCAGGATTTTTGCCGTCGAGTGGAAAAGAGTCCGATACGGAGACAGAAGAAAGGGATCGACATAGCCACACTAAAGTTGGGCTCATCCCCCAAAGTTGATGTTTGGCGGGAAAGTTTTGGAAGTATGGAATACTTCCTGGAGGATGTACTATGTTGCAGAAAGAGGAGGAGGAGGATGAAGCCCAACAACGGGCCACTGCCTGGTCAAACAAACAGGCAACAGGTATTTGGAAACACAGAACATGGATTTGCAATGTAATTTCCCGCATGTAGAACAAAAGGTAGACAGCAACTTTCTTCGAAGATGGCTGTCGTCTAAGAATGAACCACACAAAAAAACATATAATCATTACGCCATTTAGCTCCCGTTCCTTGTGCTATAATATTTTGAAGTTGCCCCCCAAAAAACAGTCCCACATAACAACACAGCCCAAAAATGTAAACGCCCGCAAAAGGTATATGATGCTCAAAAGAATCACCGCAACAAACTTAGATATCGACCTTCTTCTTGCGCTTGGGCGCCTCCTCCACTACCGTCTCCGCCTCGTCAAGGACATCCCGTTCGCGCTTGAGACCTTTCATCTTTCTTGTCTGGAGCTGGCTGAGATCCAGCTTGCCCATGTGGATTCTGCCGAGCTTGTCACCCATGATGTCGGTGGAGATGTTCTTCTTGGTGCGCTCCTCGTTGGTCTTGGCCTTACGCATCGCCTCCTTGAGCATAGCCTCGTCGGGTTCTTGGATTCTACCGATGCGGAAGTCGATACGGGGACCATGTTCCTCCAGCTCGACGCGGGGAAGCTTTTGGCCGGAGCGCTTGGTCTGGATGGTGTAGACGCGGAGGCGGAGGACAGCCTTGGAGGATGGGTCGTCGGAGTTCTCGGCGGTGGTGGGCTCGTCAGCAGTGACAACGACAACGAAACGGAGACCCTCGACGTCAATCTTGTCGGATGTCTCGCCGCGGAAGAAGTCGATGAGCATGGACTTGGCCAAGGTGAAGCCATTCGGTACAGGAGATTCGCTAGAGAATAGGTTAGCATTCACGCAAAGTAGTTAGATGCCAAGAAGTGAAACATACAAGGCCGTCCCCGCAAAAACCATCAACGGCCTGGTTCCCACTGGCACCTTCTGGGTCTTGAACTGCGAAATGCTGCGGAACGACTCGCCATCGAGGCAGAGCTCAAGCATGTCGAGGATCTTGTAGTCAAAGGTGCGCGCAAAGGTGATGGTGTGTGGGCGCTTCTTGTTGGAGCTGCCAAACAACAAAAGACTACAGTCGTTTTTCTCAGAGAAGAAGGCGAGCGAGCTGGCGTCTTCGAAAGGATGGATCGCATTCTTCTTCTGGAAGCGCTTGGCATGGACTTGCCTGAGCGCATAGAGATCGCCTAGGGCATCTTGTGTCTGTTTTGGAACTCCTTCTTAGCATACATTCGTCTCAATTGCATCGTGGGTGGCATCGACATACGATTTGACTGCAGGAGGTACCCCTCAAAAAGAGGGCCTTCTTGGGGTTCTCGACGGCTTTCGGCGCCCGCTTCTCGAGGGCACGCTTCGAGCGAGCGGTTTTGGGCTTTCTAAATTTCAAAGTAATTAGCCATGTTATGCGACAGCTTCCCGAGTCGAATTGGAGGTGCTTACACTGTGCGAAGCATTTCGATGGCGATGTCGTCAAAAAGTTGATGATGGTGGTGCTAACTTGAATGGCTGCGAAATTATTTTGGCTAAGCTCAACTTTCTTATCAGCTTATCGCTACGCTCTTGCGCTTGGTGAATCTGGGTGGGGCCGGCGGAAATGTGGGGCCCAGGACTTTAACGTCAACTCCAAGCTTCACATCATGGCATATGAAGGGTACCAGCATCAATGGATGTTACAGCAATACGAGAAGTCGGCGCATTACTATCTTGGAGATTCCAGTCAAGTATATTCCAATATTAGTAACATGTACTATGAACGTATGAGCACAGGTTTGTTGTTGGTGTGGGGGATAATCCATATTCACCACACTAATGAGTTGACCAAACACCTCCCGCCACCATGTTTTGGGAGTTTTGGTAGAAGTCCTCAATGCCCAATCTCAAGTTCTGCTTAATACCTGGGACTTTGTGATGAGCTGACCACTGGGCCGGCGTATTGGTTTTGAGTGCTCTGTCATCAAGAGAGCCACAGGCATCGTGACTGCGGTGGATGAGATGTTGTTGGTTACGAGGTACCGGGAAGCACTTGCTACTGAATGGAAACCTTGAGGTCCATCCTGCGGCAACCATGCCGATGGGTCTGGTCCCGGAAATAGTGCACCAGTTCGTCTGATGTGATCGTATCTCATCCCAGTCATTGTGGGCTCTTGGGTAGCGTTTGTGATATATTGAGTTCTACGAGACCCTTTTTTTTTTCTGTTGTCATATTCTTGGTTCTAAGTTGTGGCCGGAATTTAAAGCTCGTTGTGCAGAAGTCGGTAAGAGGATAGAGTAGAAAATAGGCGAGAAGTCAACTTGGATGGCGCAATATGATCTTTCGAGTATTTACCTAAATATGTGATGATTGTAAATATTTATACAAACACAAAGAAGATAGATTGACACTTGAAATAATTTGGCCCGTCTTGAAAACATGCTGCTCCATCTGTTTGTATGCCTTGACTGTTGATTTGGGCCGAGAGTATCCTCGGGTACCGCACCCGGGTTTTCAACATTGATATTTTTGGGTGCCGAACAATGCCTCTTGCCAAAATTTGCCTGCGTATTGCAAATGATTTTTCATGCCGAGGTGTCGCCAGCTGTTGCCCCATCGCACGGTGTTCTTCTGTCCATCTCTGTGGCCTTCGCTGGGCTGACACGAGCGCGGCGGGCGAGCCTGCCCAGCAGCATCAGGATGTCTTGCGCTCTCCAGGCAGCGCAACAAGGTTTCTGTGTCTGGAAAAGTAACATTTGGCAGAGCTACTTCTGGTGATTCTAGCCATATATATTATAGCGTGGGAAACGTCGTGGGTATCGAGATAATGCGGTGTAGAGACGTCCGGTCCCTCCAAACTGGTGTTCTTGCTAGTCTTTGTCCCTTTTCCGCCCGCGGATTCCGCGCAAATCGAGGCCAACGGTTACGCCAAAATTACCGTTGGATTCCTTTCCTTCCGCGCTATCGTTTGATGCAAGATATATGATGGTAGCTGCCATTGCTGTTAAGCAATTCGACGAACAAGACAGCATTCTCGTCTGCTGTCCTCGCAGCCTCCACTGGGGCGTGGGCTCTCATCCTCATCACATGCTAACCACCCCCCCCACCCCTCCCCACCCAATACTCGGATCTTTTAGCACAACACCGAAATACTTTGCGATATTGAGCATTTCAACCAAAACAGACAGCCCGCAACACCTATAATTCCTCTCAGAACTTGATTCCCAGAATCCTCAACTCTCGCTCTATCCAGCCATGTTTTCCATTTCACCATAACCCCATCCCATCCCCATCTCCTCCCCGTCCCCCTTCCCCTCCCCTCCCAGAGAAACCCGCGCTGAGAAAGAAAGTAGATCTTTTGGGGCTGTTGAAGGTGACGCGGCACCGGGAACGAGTCGGGCGGGAACGACGCGATCGCGAGTGTCGAGTAATCCCGAAGTACCGTCCAAAACTCAAGACGATCAGGGAGGTGCGTTGGGAGGAGTGATTTTGAGTCATGTCTTTCTCTTGTTGGTGGTTTCGGTTGGGTGTCTGTCGTTTGTTGTGGTGGTTTTGGTAGGTGTCTGTCTTTTGTTGGTGGTATTGGCGATGGAGAAGGAGGCGGCTTTCGTTTTTGAGATGGTTGTTTGGATTGTTTTCTGACTTGGTTGGCATTCGGTTTTGTTTGGTGGGTTTCTTGGTTGTTTTGCTCTTGTAATTAGCGCTGGCTCTCAGCGTTTGGCTTTCTTGTTTTCTGTTGGCGTTTTTCTGTTTGTATCTAGATACCTCTCGGCGTTGCTTTTTTTGGCTTTCTCATGGTGGAAGTCCACCCAGTGTCCCCCCAGCACGAGCGACGAAGCCGGACTCTGCACCTCCTCGTGGTGTCGCTTGGTAACCGGTTGCAAGCGTAGCAGGGCCAATACAGAGACGCATCTGTAGTTGGTGGTAATAAAATCTGCTGTCCATGAGTTGTTCTAGGATTGACATGGTGTTTTGTGTGGTTGTCGTGCTTCTGTCGTGTTGTCTGATCCAACATCTACCGACTAAGCCCTCCGCTTGGTGTCCTTCCATCATCGTCGGTCATCGCAGTCAACCAGCATTTTTCCTCCTGTAAAAGATTCAACCACGCGTGTGTTGTTAAAATTGGCGTAATAAGGTTTCGCTGTTGAAGATGCTGCCTGTCTTTTTGCTGTCGGTTTGGCGGAGGCTGATTTTGACTCACCGTGGCTGCCCATTAAAGTCAAAGTAAGTTCACCTTGGCCTTTTGACCTGAATCTACCCATTACAAGACTCTCCCAACCAATCCTTGGTAGCACATTCACCACGCATTATCACCAAGCCGACCCCAAAACCCACAATGGCAACCACGCCAAGACCCCTCTTCGTTTACGGCACCTTGTGTGCTCCAGAGCTGCTTGCCATGCTCCTCCGGGAATCAGACGAGACCGCCCCCGACGTCGACAAAATACACCCCATGCTGCAACCTGCAACCGTCAAGGGATATGAGCGGCGTTCGTTATACTTCGGCAGTGGTTACGCCCAGCAGCCTGCGGTAATTGCCTCCAAAGACCCAAATGCCTCGATCCAGGGCTGCCTCCTCACACTAGCGACCACGTCTCAACGTCGGAAACTCGACAACTTCGAAGGTGAAGGAGAGGCATACAAGTGCGTTCCCGTCCAGGTTCACATCGCTACCGATCAGTCAGTAGCGGCAGACATGTACCTCTGGAATGGCCCGATGGAGAAGATATCTCCTGATCCTTGGGACTTTACCGCCTTTGTCAAAAATGGGCTGCAGGACTTCTTCCTCAATGTTTTTGAAGGAATGGAATTTGGTGGTGAAGAGGACCAGTAAACTTGCACAAGAAAATATGGACCACAGCTTGGTCGAAGCAAACACATATAAAATGTAAGTTCCCCTATGTCACCTGCAAGTGAGCTATTTCGTGATGCTGACAGGTTGACTAGAGCGCTTATGTTCTCAAAAAGGAAAACAGAAAACAATCTTGGCAGATGTCGTTGGATTCAGGGGCTCGCTCAAATATTCTTCCGCTGCGAGATATGAAGATGGTGTGGGGAGTGGCGTGGGGGCGACCCGATCTTGGTGTTCTTGGCACGGTCCCCCCTGAGGTTCCATTTTCAACCGCAGACCTTGGACGACGCAATCAGCTTCCCCATAAAATGCTTATCTGACGACTGTTCCAGCCGCAGGCTCGCAGCCCGCGGAGATGGGAAGAGGGTGTGCTTTCACTGCCGCGCGCGAGCTCCGAGAGGTTGCTTTGGACCCGGAACACCCTTATCTTCGTCCCCGTCGAGAGCTGCAGGAGCAGAGATAACCCACACAACCCGGTCGCTCCAATCACATCTTTACAATTGCAATCGTCAAAGCAGTGAGCAGCGTCGGTTCAAGCCTCATGAAGTCATATCCAATGTGGGCGTCTGTGAGGTTCTTGGCTTTGTATGATAAGGACGGCAATGGTGTTGAGGTTGTTGGTCCCTCGGGAGGGAGGATTTTGGGTGAGGTTTCGGAACACAACTGCAAGAAAAACTCAAACTCGAAAAAATCCAAGGAAGAACGGAGAAACAGGAGATGTCATACTGGTTTGTCGACAGTATTCCCGGTGAAGAATAACCCAGACTCCACAAAAGCTTGTATAGCGGGAACTGTTGAGATATATGGGGATCAGATTACCACCGTAGGGACGGTACTTGCATCTCCGGATTCGAGGCTGGCTTTTCTTGACATGCATATCCGGCCACTCAGAGGGCCCGTCGGACCTCTTATCAAGATCTGCGGTGTGGCGCGGCTCCTGTTTGGGGGTTTTCCAAGTTCTAGATCTGGGGAATGCACACCTACCCGTGGTTTTCAGCGTGCTGAAGGTGCCAAACATGCGTTTCCGGATCGAGTCCGTGGAAACGTCATTGTGTTTGTCGGTAGTGATATGAGTGCGATATGAGAGAATTCGGGAGTGAGCCAAGAGTCGTGATTGTGTGTGTATGGAAGTTGTATATCCGTCAAGTTTGTGAGGGACGCTCACAGGTATAAGACCAGACCTTGGCCTGGCTCATTCAGACTAGTTCCTGGCTAGAGAGCATCAGTTCATCTACAGCAAAAGGGCTAGCTTGAAACATGGGCCTCAAACTCGCTCACCTTTACGCTGCCCCTGAGGTTAACCCCGTTAACCGAAAGGCGCGGGCGATACCTTTCTTTAACCCTGTCAATGTTTACGGCCGGGTGTTCTTCTTCTCGTGGTTCGGTTTCATGATCGCGTTCTGGGGTAAGTTTCTGTCATTCTGCTACTACCTACCTGGCAATTCTGTACTAACTTTCTGTGCTTTAGCTTGGTCTACATTCCCACCATTGGTATGATGACACCTTCTCATAGCATCAATGAGGTGTAGGAGTCTAACAGATGCCGTCTATAGCTCACACATACTATCAAATATGACCTCAACCTCTCACCGGCTGAGGTAGCCAACAGCAACATTGTGTCTCTTCTAGCCACCCTCCTCGTCAGGGTCATCGCCGGCCCATTATGCGATCAATTCGGTCCCCGCAAAGTCTTTGGCGGCCTTCTCCTCATCGGCGCCATTCCCCTCGGCTTGGCCCCTCTAGTGCAAAACATCAACGGGCTCTACGTCTCCCGCTTCTTCATCGGCATTCTCGGCGGCTCTTTTGTCCCCTGCCAAGTCTGGTCAACCGGCTTTTTCGACAAGAACGTCGTCGGCACGGCCAACGCCCTGACCGGCGGCTTCGGCAACGCGGGAGGCGGCATCACCTACTTCATCATGCCCGCCGTCTACGACGCCTTTGTCGCCAGCGGCCGCTCCCCGGGGCAATCCTGGCGGCTGACGTTCATCATCCCTCTTGTCATGGTCATCGCAACGGGGACTGCCCTCCTTCTCCTCTGCCCCGACACCCCCACCGGCAAGTGGGCCGACCGTCACCTCCAAGCAAAGGAGAACCTTCACGCCCACGGCATCGATGAGACGATCGTCGACATCCCCGGCGCCATCACCGACCGGTTGCCTTCCACCCCACCAGAGAGCAACCACGAGAAGGTTGACCTGAAGATTGAACGGAAGACTTCAGCCGCATTTGACCACGAGGCGCAGCTTTCAAAGACGGAGATGATCCAGACTGCCCAGGGGGAGATTGTCCAGAAGCCGACACTGAAGGAGGCCCTCCAGGTCGCGCGCTCCCCGCAGACGATTTTTCACATCTTGACGTACTCGTGCTCTTTTGGGTCGGAGCTGGCGATCAATGCCATCCTGGCGTCTTATTACGTCAAGAATTTTCCTTCGCTCGGGCAGACGGCTGCGTCGAACTATGCTGCCATTTTTGGGTTTCTCAATTTTGTTACGCGCCCTCTTGGGGGTATTGTGTCTGATATTTTGTACAATTATTTTGGACGCTCGCTGTGGTTGAAAAAGATGTGGATCGTGGTTTGTGGTGCTGTCACTGGGGTGTTGTTGATCGTGATTGGGGTTTTGGACCCGAGGGATCAGGGGGTGATGTTTGGATTGGTCGCGGTGATGGCGGTTTTTTTGGAGGCGGGGAATGGTGCGAATTTCAGCTTGGTGCCGCACGTGCATCCGTTTGCGAATGGGATTTTGTCGGGGTTGACGGGGGCGGGTGGGAACTTGGGCGGGGTGGTGTTTGCGGTTGTGTTTAGGTTTATGGATGGGGGGAAGGGGTATGCGAGGGGGTTTTGGGTGATTGGGGTTGTTAATCTTGGGATCGCTTTGGGGGTGAGTTGGATTAGGCCGCTGCCGAGGGGGCAGGTTGGGGGGCATTAGATGGGAAGATGGGTCGTGAATTGGTTTACGGATGGGGACTCTCTTTTAGCGTGGTGTTTTGGTGTTCTGGGTTGGGTAAACAAACATGGCGGGTTACGGGGCTGGGATCTGGAATTAAAAGACCATATCGAGTTTACATTGCTCTTTACGAACGATATCAATGTGTTGTGGCACCATTTGCCAAAGACTCCATTGCAACGCGATGAACATCAGAGCATGAATGACGTTCAGCTGTGTCTTGATCAAACCTGGTCGAGAGCTACGAAGTGCAACTGATTCTGAAGATGACTTACACTGACTGTCTGTTCCAGGCCCTGTCCCGGACACACAGATCTTGGCAGGTAGGTAGGTATCTATCCTTGGAACAACACATCCGTCAAACACTCGGAACTTGTGGTCGAACAACCAACCCCAGGAACAACAGTCACCGCCAGACAACTGACAACCAACCAACCGCCAGTCCTCCGCCAAGTTTACCGGTGTGTTGCCCCCCCCCCCCCCCCCAGCATCTCACGATATTACCCCAACCGGGGCGGTGTCGGATATCGCACCCGGCGGTCACTTGCACGAAACAACCTTCCGTACTCTCCTCAACCGGCGGCAACCATCGGAAGAAAACACCCACCCCTTATTTGACCCTTCCACACCGAAAATCTGCACAACAAACTCCCTTGGCAACATGCGTAGGTGGTCACGATGTTACATATACGCACAGTCTTTGTCCTTTTTGACACACAACCTCGCCCCTTTACATAACCAACCCGAACCCTAACTCTCCGACCGGCCCGGCTATCGGCACCGACAGCCGCTCCGGCTTCGAAGGCCCACTACCTCCCGAGAACCGCCCCACTTTTGCCGTGCCGGGAATGAAAGTTGTGGGGAACGGACTGGTCCGTAGCGCAAATGTGTGATACGTCACGCTAAGGCAGACCCGCAACCATCGAGTTCGAGTCAAGGAAGGAACCGAGCGGTCGGGAAATGCCATGACGGAATTGGGATGGGATTTTTTGGGTGGTCACATGTGGCGGTTTACGCTTGGGGGGAAAGGGGGGGGGAAGTCGGGGGTTAGTCGGAGGTTTGAGTCGGGGGTTTCATCACACAGGATAGCACATATTGTATCGTTAGACGGTAAGATAGTCGAGAGCTATCGCAAGTGAAGTGAAGGTCGGTTGGAAAAAGTCTGGAACACCCCTTGGAAGAGATAGGGAAAGAGACGAACCGGATCGGTTGTCGGCGGTGGAGTTTTGCGGAACGGCACATGGCGGACTACACTATGGAGAGGGGACCCGCACCGATGGAAAAGTGTAACCCTTCCCGAAGCAGCGGCGGGTGGAAAATTCAGGGAAGGAGTCACTGGTTCTTTTCTTCTCCAGATCGGGGGGATCGGTGGACGGGTTGGGGGATGTAGATAAGTAGAAGGGGATCTCCTGTTTTGTTCATCTTTGTGAGATACAGACCTCGAGACCAGGGAATCTTGAACATACCATTGAAGACATCTCGATCTTGCATGAAGGAGTAAAATTGGATGTTATACAATGACAACAATGCCTTGCTCTTTACCTTGCGTACCGCATATTGTTGGGCCGGATAGAGGGTCGAATAACGAGATTATGGAAGCTCAGGATCATCAACCCCCACCGCCATCACGACCTACAGAGACGATGATGGATCCTCAAAGACAACAAGAACCTATCTCGTCTTCATCCTCCACCACCGAGGCCGAAGTCGAAACACCCACCAACAACCCCCCACCACCACCATCACCAAAAACCCTCCTCACGGCTTCCAAAATATGGAACTATCTCAACCAAGACATCAAACCCACCACCTTTGCCGAGATCCAACTTACGCTTTTAACATTCTGCATCGGTTTACAAGGTTAGTTTTCCCTGGTCTTCGCTAGGTCACCTTGCCCACATCATATATCTCCCCTTACCCATCCCCCTCACCTATCCTCCTCCCACCCCCTTGCTAACTCTGTTTCCCTACTAGACGCAGTCTCCTTCCCCGACTTCCACTGCTTCGCCTCCAACCAAACAGGCAACACCGTCTTCCTCGTCCTAGCCATCATCCTCCCCGAGATGGACGGCGAAATGTTTGTCACCTCCAACATCGCCGTCGCCCTGGGCTTCTTCCTCGCGGCCGCCTATCTCACCGGCCAGCTTGGGCACATCATCGGCCCCCGCCGCCGCTTGTACATCATAATCTGCAACCTCATCCAGACCTGCCTCGTCTTTGCGACTGCTGTCCTGCAGTACAAGAAGGGGGTCGAGCCCCAGGGTACACGAACCCTCCTGGCGATTGGGTTTCTTGCCACTGCTGCGGGATCGCAGGTTGTGGTGAGTAGGAGTTTGAAGATGACCGAGATTAGCACGGCGATGGCGACGGCGGCGTGGTTGGATTTGGTGATTGATCCTGATTTGATGAGGGTGAAAAATAGGGGGAGGAATAGGAGGTTGATGTTTTTGGGGAGTTTGATTTTGGGGACGTTGGTGGGGGCGGTGATTTTCAAGAGGGTGGGGAGTGCGGTTGCGTTGTTTGTTAGTGCTGGGGGGAAAGGGGTGGTGACGGGGATGTGGTTTGGTGTTGAGGGGGAGGAAAGTAGGAAGAGGGAGGGGCGGGAAGAGAAGGGGGAGATGGGGGTGATGGTTTAAGGGGAAGGGGGAAGTGATGATGATGATGATGGCATTAGCGTGGAGTTTTGGGATCTGGGATACCTGGGTTTTTGCTTTAGATGACTAGAAGACAAAAGCTGGGTTTAGATATGATGTATGAGGAGAAATTTAGAGTACCCTAGAATGTGTTGTGATGGTCAGCTTCCAAACCTTTAATCCTGTTTTCTATTGCCGCGCTTCCCATAATGGCAAGATAGTGTACCTAAGAATCTTTGCGTCCGATGAGCTAGAGCCCTATGAGCAGGAGTTAAACGTCTCTTTCCCCATATGCATTAGCTCGCAGAATCTGAAGTGCGCCGATGTGACGAAACGGGAAGACGGCATGCCTCCACAAGTACACAAGTACTATCAAAAGTCTCGGGCCGCGACCTCGGATCAGCAGGAATGCGATACGTAAAGCTCGGGAGGATTAGCCAATCTCGGGACATTCTTGCAATGAAGAGGTTGGCGAGAGGAGCGGTGGCACAATAGCTTTGATGTAGTCGCAGACAAGACCCTATTTCTTTCATCATGTGGTCAGCCACCTAGCTCATGTCTATACAATGGTCTTGTCGATTGGTAACTGTTGAAGTTGTACTTTGGTGACTGGTGGTGTGGCAAGAGGTTTGAGCGGCAAGGTCGGTCAGGCACATAGTAACTGCGCCTTTGTGGTCTTTAGACTTTCGGTGTGTATCTAGATGATAAGTCTAAGACCTGATTAGCAAGCAATTTGGAATAATATAGGGAATTCTGGAAGAGATGGCAGAGTCGCAGTGTGAATGATAAGCAAGAGATTATGCAGTTACTTGCATAAGAGTGGCCCGTGCGCTCTTCAGTCAGTAAAAGATTGCCCCTCCATCCCCAGGTTTTCGGGTGCAGTGGCATCATCATCCGATCCGACCAGAAGCGCGGTAGAAGACGGCTTGCTGCGGTGCGGACCCTTTGGTTTCCGCCATGAAAGGCAGGGAGATATCCACGTCCTCCATAAGCGTCACTCAATGGCGCGATTTCACGTGGTCAGCCCTTTGTTTAGCCTGTCTTTGCGTCTTCTCGACTATTTCTTTCAAGGAAGCTCGAAGGAACCACTCCTTCGAGATCTGCCAAGATCTCCACTGTCTTGGCTTGGCAACAGGAGGGGCACCTCTTTTTCGCTGATTTCAAAGCGAGCCCTCCAACAAGCATCAGCTGGAGCAAGGTGTGCCAGGTCGGCTCAGTTTCGGAATCCCACAGTGTTTTTTATTTTAAGCCCGCAGGGTCGATGTCGCGATTTTTATAAAAATCACCCAACGCCTCTACTATTAAACGTGCCCCCACGCTTCCCCTACATCACCACCAGAGGCTCACACTCCCCAACCAACAAAACGTACAGGATGACTATCACGACACCACCAAGGGCCTCTTCCCCCTCGTCGGGCTTTGGCACCAGAGCCGTCCACGCCGGCTCTGAGCACGATCCCAGCACGTATGTGTCCCCCCCCTTCTTCTTCTTCTTCTTCTCCTCCCCAATCCTCCAACTAATAGTGTGCTCACAGCGGTGCCGTGATCCCCGCCATCTCCCTCTCGACGACCTTTGCGCAAACGGCCGTCGGCCAACCGGTTGGCGAGTATGAGTACTCTAGGTCCTCCAACCCTAATCGCAAAAACTTTGAGGACATGGTGGCGGCCCTCGAGAACGCCAAGCACGCCCTCGCCTTCTCTTCCGGTAGCGCCACCACTGCCGTGATCCTCCAGTCGCTTGCCTCTGGCTCGCACGTCATCTCTGTCTCCGACGTCTATGGCGGCACCCACCGTTACTTCACCCAGGTCGCCAAGGCCCACGGTGTGAAGGTCACCTTCACCCCCGAGATCGAGGTTGACATCCGCGAGCACATCACCCCTGCCACCAAGCTGGTATGGATCGAGACTCCCAGCAACCCTACCCTCCGTCTCGTCGACATCCGCGCCGTCGCGACTGCTGCCCACGAGCACGGCATCATGGTTGTTGTCGACAACACCTTCCTGAGCCCTTACATCCAGAACCCTCTTGATCACGGCGCCGATATTGTGGTGCACAGTGTCACCAAGTACATCAACGGCCACAGCGACGTCGTCATGGGTGTCGCCGCCTTCAACAGCGAGGAGCTCTTCAAGAGGCTCTCGTTCCTGCAGAACGCCATCGGCGCCATCCCCTCGGCGTTTGACGCGTGGCTTGCCCACCGTGGAGCTAAGACTCTGCACCTGCGTGCCCGCGAGGCCACGACCAATGCGACGGCTGTCGGCCACGCCCTGGAGGCCAGCCCCCACGTCATCGCGGTCAACTACCCCGGTCTCGACTCTCACCCGCATCGCGCCATCGCCAAGAAGCAGCACCGCAACGGCATGGGTGGCGGCATGCTGTCATTCCGCATCCGTGGGGGTCACGCCGCGGCCGAGCGTTTCTGCCAGCTGACCAGAATCTTTACACTTGCCGAGTCCCTAGGCGGTGTCGAAAGCTTGTGCGAGGTGCCAAGCAGCATGACCCACGCTGGTATTCCTAAGGAGCAGCGTGAGGCTGTTGGTGTCTTTGACGACCTTGTCCGTCTCAGCTGCGGTGTTGAGGATGCCGAGGACCTCAAGAACGATGTTCTCCAGGCTCTTGAGCGTGCTGTTGCCGAGACTTCCAACGGCAACGGTACCAATGGTGTCAACGGTCACTAAACAGGAATAAAAAGTAAAAGATAGAAAAGTGGGAAAATTGAAAAACGAGCGGAAAGGGGGACACGGGATATGGCTTCGGGGGACATAGAGGGGCATAGGCGTATTTCGGATAGGAGTTTGGCTTTGGGGCATTAGCATTTCACGATAGACATTAGCGCTTTCTTGGTATTGCTTGCTATCTTGATTTTTTCAAGGCAAATTCTTTTTCAATATCAAAGCTGTGATGGGGCTGCGGCTTCTGGCGTTGTTGGGCACTTTTGTTGGGTATACATGATGTGATGGGGTTATATGGACAATGTTCATTGTTCTGATAAGCAGGTCTTCATGTGGTTCATATTGGCGGTAGTTTGAGGACGGACTGCGTCGTTTCTTTCTATCTCTTGCTATAATCGGTGGGTTCTTGGAAGGTTTTTTTTTTTTTTTTTTTTTTTTTTTTTTTTTTTTTGCGAATAACAAATACTACTCTGAGGTTATGGTTTAAGGCTATCAGCAGACACTCAAGGTGGTTTTTAAGTAATGTGTGTTATGTATTTGTTTCACACACTCCAGAGCTGCCATGTCTCACTTTGGTTGTACGAAGTATTTCCTAAGCCGAGCTTACTATCATGCCATACCGAGGAATAGCATCTCTGTGTACTAACACCAAACTGTGTAGATGTTGTTGCTTCAAGACTTTTAATAAGAGTTATTATTATGCTTTCAGCTCAGAATTGGATTGCCAGTGGGGAAATATGATAAGAACAGTTCGAGTGCCTATATCTATCCTAACAGTTTTGTAGCACAAGCTGCCAGCGTGAGGGTTCTTTGTTTCGGTGAGTACTTGGTGTTATGAGGGTACCTAGTTAGTTGTTTAATCAAAATCTCAAAGGATATCGCGATGCGGAACGCAACGGGTCGATGTATTTCTTCGACTCTCGAAGTGCAGGTCCGGTGTGGCTGTGCCTGTATAAGGTAAGGTAGACTCTATTGTGGTCCAGTCAGTATTGCTGAAGTCGAATTCTGGGCCAGGGGGTTTATGGTAAAGGCAACCACAGCAGCTTTTTGAAGTCTGACTGGAGCTTTCGACTTTAAGTCTTGATGATGGATGTCAAAAGTCGCATTATTCAGGCAGGGGAATCAACTGCTCATGACCAAGGTCTTGAGGGTAAGAGCAAAATTGCAAAAAGGATATGGAAGTAAGCAGGGCTGGAAGAAAAGCAAAAATCTCACCGGCCAAACCCACCCAGACCGGTGTCTGGGAGAGGTGGCCGGCTACAAAAACCCCGGTGGTTTTACTTCGGATCGAACTCGGGAGCTATCGGTTGCAAACTCCCCCGGTGGGGGGCGGTAACAGCAGCTCCCTCCACCTTGACCATTTGTTCTGACCACGGAGTGGCACTCTGGTCAAGATATCAGGGCTGCTGTTGGAAGGTAGGTGAGGAAGGTGGTATATACACGGTGGTTGTGGTCGTAGGGAAGGATGCGATTCGGTTCCAGTCCCAACCATGTAAGTACAGTAATTGCGGCTTGCCTGTCGACTTCTCGTTGCCATTTGTTAGTCTCATCATTTGACATTATTATTATTAACTATACGACTTGCCCTACAGCTCGACCTCATCTTACTGACCAACCCATTTCATTGAACACACATCAACTATCCATCATATTTTCATCCAGGGTTTGCCCCCTGGACCATTTCAATCCCCTCCAACACATTACCCATCCACCTTCCTACTTCACCACCCTTCATCACTCATCCACCACCGCCTCCTCCACAAAAACCATCCTCCCCCTCTTCAACTCCTCCTCCCCCTTCCCATCATCCACCATCTCCCCAACAGGCAAGCTAACCGCATCATCCAACCTCACAACTCCATACCTCCGCCCTCCTCCTCCTCCTCCTCCACCACTGTGAGCATCCCTATTACCACCACCCTTATTCTTCCTAACAGCATTTCCAGAAACTGGCCCCAGCGGCCTCGTCACAGCCACCCCCTGCCCCCTCGCCTTCCCCATCATTTCGAGAAGCCCCATCCCCGCCATCCCGTTCCTTTTGTCGTGATGATGGTCATGAACAACCCGGCCGGGTAAAGGCGTGTACGTATCCCGGGAGTGGTGCCTCTGGGGATGTGTACGATGGGGGGGTTTGTTGTAAGTAGTGTAATCCCCGACGCCGTCGTGTGGGTTGCCGTCCAGGAGATTATGCAGATGACCAAGAGAAGATAAAAAGCCGGGAGGGAGAAGGGGTTTCCTCTCCGG